AGTTTGATTGATTTTTGAAATTCGTGGTTCAGCGTTAGATGGAAGAATTAAAATCTCCTGTAGTCTACGGATTGGTTCCGAATTGGAACCCCCGGTTATCCAACGATTGGAGAACTAATATCCGAACAAAACAAATATAATTTTATATTTATATTACTATACCCTTCAGCATAGTATTTTCTCATTCAATAAAATCTAAACATACTTATAAACCCACATTTAGTATCTTCCTTTTTTACTTTTATTCTGTTAGTTTTTAGTCTTGATTTGTAATATGATCTAAATACTTATGGTGGCAAACATAGTTTTCTATATGATTGTTTTACAATTTCAAAACAGTATAATCGCTATTATAGGAAAGTCCATGTACTATTACTAGACACTAACTAATATAGTGCTATGTTTATGTTTTTATTGAAATTTAAAGTTTATATAAATTATTAGTATTATTTAAATTATGTGAATCTGTAGTCTGTACAACCAATCCAATCCCGTATTTAAATGGATCTGGTACTCGAATTGGTTTTACAAATAAACGGATTGGATTTGTTCTAAATTTTTCAAAAATCTGTAGATACAAATTAATCCTGATTTTAACCTTAATCCGGTCCAATCTAGACCATGTTCACCCCCTATGACAAATATATACCACTTACAGAAACTATGCAATAAAAAAAAGCTACAACTCAGTAAAAGTGCTCAAGAAATGAAGTGTGGAGTGCTGTGGGATATCATAATTTGAGTTCGTACATTTTATAAGAAACTAGCTGGACCATTTGGTTTCTGGTCATCGCTGCAATTGGGGTAATGGGTATATTATTTCCTAATCCCATTCTCGCTATAATAAATTTTTTCTCATTCTCCATTTTCATTCCCCATGGGTACCACCCTCCCATTTTTTAATGGGTACTGGATCTTTCCCCAATCCATTTAATCTCCCATTTTTATTTTTTATAATTTAATGCCTAACAATTTTTTATTTTTTTATTTTTATTTTTTTTATTTTTTTTTTAAGGTCACAACAAAAACTAAATAATACCTTCAATTTTTTTTCTTTCTTTTTTAATATATTAATGTTATTTTATTTTTTTTTTATTTTTTTAAGGTTCACACAAAAGTTAAATATACCTCAATCTTTTTCTTTCTTTTTTAATATATATTTATGTTAACAACTTCTTTTTTTTTTTTTTTTTTTTATAAAGGTTCTTAGCTAAAGTGATACCTTCAATCTTTTTCTTTCTTTTTTTAGATTATATTAATATTAACAACTTCTTTTTTATTTTCATTTTTTTATTTTTTTTAAAGGTTCACAGACAAAAGCTAAATAATACATTCCAATCTTAATTTATTTTATTTGGTTCAACAACAAAATCAAATACACATTAATTATTAATTAAAAAGTTTGTTTTAATAATAACAAAATATAATTTTTGAGACAATCAAATAAGTTTTTAGTAATTGAAAAAAATGTGGAAGAACATGGGGAAGATTAAAAAAAAAATTACAAACCATCTCTTCTCTTCTCTCTCACTCTCCCCTACATGGTTTATAAGAACCTGATTACATGTTATAAGAGCCATGTATCTGAAGAAATAAAATGTGAAAGAACCTGTTTGAAGAAAGTGTTATACAGACTCATATTAAATTGCATCAGGGCATAAATATAGGAATTGTTCTGTTGACTCTTAGCCACGGACAATTTTAGACATTAAACCATCTTTCTCTTTAGCAAATTTGAACCATTACACTTTTACATTTATCCAAATCTAATTATCTACCTTTAAAAGATCTGAACTACTCATTTTACAGATATCCTATGCATTTACCACCACCCAATCCATCCCTGCCATCTTCTTCCTTTAAGTCCCCCCTACTAATTTTTGTGTTGTTTACTTTTTAAAAAAAACAAAAAATATTTTTTTCAATTAAATTTTTTACTAATTTCACAACACTCATCACCCTATGGTTCATTTCATTGTGCCAACATCTACCAATCACCATAGCCACTAATCATCACTCACTACGTATCCGCCATCACCATCACCACTATTTGTACACAATCTCTTACTTCACCTTCGTTCACTATCACCAACCACCACCAAATTTAAGAAAATCATATTTTTTAACTTTTTTTATAAAAAATATTTTCATTAAAAAATATTTTTATCTAAATAAATGAAACATAAACATTGGGATACAAGCTGATTTCCAGTAAATCTGTCATCAAGCTATAGAAAAATTCTTTTTAATTTAAAAAAATTAATTTGAGTTAAGACTTTGTATCCCCTTTTGTTTTTCCCTAGCAAATAAATTTGTACCCATCATTTTCTAACCAACAACGCTCATGCTTGTTTGATTATTTATCACATTTCCTTATTTTCAAATACATTCAATATATATATATATAGTATAGTTGTATAAAGTTGTACCGGGACTAGCATAAAACAAATTAGATTCATACTCGTTTAATTTCGACATTTTAGAACAGAGTAAACCATTTTGGAAAATTACAATACACAACAAAAATAGAAATAACATAGAAAAGAAACTAAAACCTACACTAGACAGCGTCCTTAATTTTGTTTTTTAAATAATTAAGAAAATTCTAAGAATAAGCATAAAATTTGGATAAGAATAACCTGTAACAATGCTGTAATAATGGTGTATTTTGATTGTTATTGTTGAGCCAAATAAATAAAATAAAATTGAACTGTATATTTAGGTTTTGATTGTGGAATCATTAAAAAATAAATAAAAAACAAAACTGGGTTGTGAACCTTAAAAAAAAAATTTAAAAAAAGAAAAGAAAGAAAGATTCAACATGTATATATTAGCTTTGGTTGTGGAATCTTAAAAATTAAAAATAAAAATGGTTGTGAATCTTAAAAAAAAAAAAAAAAATTGGTTGTGAACCTGAAAAAATAAATAAATAAAAAAAGAAAAAAGATTTAATGTATATTTAGTTTTGGTTGTGAATCTTAAAAAAAAAAAAAAATGGGAAAATTAGTAGGTACCCATTCCCAACCCATCCCCTGTGGATATTTAAAGAATATCACTTACCCTACCAAATGGATAAGAAAAAGAGGAAAAAATCCATGTATTTGAGTTGAGTCTCCATGGATACCCACAGGATAGTTATCCATTACCATCCCTACATTTTATATTTTGGGCACCTTGTTCTCGCTGCGTAGAACTCAACGCAAACAATATGATAATCCAAATAATTCAGTTACTAGTACATGTCACTGAATAGTTGAGGTTTTCCTCAATTCGTGGTTCTTGCTCATGACAAGATTGTTACTTCAAAGTTAACACAATCAAAATGTTTTAAGATTTCAAGTTTTTCATTCATATCTTTCTTAATTTATTTCGCAACCAAACCGATTACTTCTGAAATTAGGCGAAAATCAGCCGTTAATTCGATTTAACAAAGCTCTCATTTAGAAAACTTTATTCTTCTGACATTGCTACTAATAGAAACAAAGAAAATGACTTGACTTGCATTAGGATTCAAGCAAAGTGTTCTTGATGTAATTTGCTCTTTGTTTATAAGCCACTTTAACTTGATAAAGATATGTATATGATATGTTTACATATGTGTATTAGTACATACTAAGTTCTTGATTAGAATTCCAACTGTCTGATCGGTGGATAAATACTCAAATTTCATTCATATGATATAGTAACAGTAATTGGTGATTTGTTATTAACAAACAACGTGTCCATAATGATATGTGACTCACTTTGGTTAATAAAATATTGAAAGTGATTTATTTTTGGAAAAATAAGTTCGTTGATCCAATGATTTGAGACGTACATGTTGGAGCCTACATTTGTTAGGCCTAGGATACTATCATGTATCCTCAAACATGATATATATTACATCATTCTGAATAAATTTTGTGTAAAATTTATGTTGGTAAAATTTTCATACAACAAATGTGGAAGAGAACTTTAACAAGAAATAGAACCACAAATGTTTGTTCTTTAGAAAAGTAAGTTCATTGATCCAATGATCAAAGATGTGCGTGACAGCACCTATGTTTCTTAGGCGCAATACACCATCATGTATCCTCGAACACACTATTACATCACTCTGAATAAATTTTGCATATAAAAATTATATTTGTAAATCGTTTCTATACAACAAAACAACTATAAAATCAAATTTTTGGGGCAATTCAAAAAATCAAAAAAATCATAAACTTGTCTAGTCCATATCAAACCTAATTTTTTAATGCACGATTTGGTCACATTTCTTAAAAATAAGTGAATTGTAAATTGTAATCATATGATTAAGTTGAAAATTTTGTACAAATAGTTCCAGTTTATAATCAAATCTGACTGTTCATATATATATATACATATAAAAGTCATTACTTATCGTAAATTCTGAAATATCCTATCACAATCTCGTATAATACTTATACTAAACTTAACCTAATTGACATCATATCATAACCCTCAGTCACTCAACAGTGGACATATGATTAAGTTGAAAATTTTGTACAAATAGTTCCAGTTTATAATCAAATTTGACTGTTCATATATATATATATATATAAAAGTCATTACTTATCGTAAATTCTGAAATACCCTATCACAATCTCGTATAATACTTATACTAAACTTAACCTCATTAACATCATATCACAACCCTCAGTCACTCAACAGTGGACTCTCTCATCTCATAACTAGGACTACCACTTGACAATGGTTGCTTGAACAATAATTTATTAACAATCTGGTTACTTGATATTTTTATTAAACAATATTTTTTTGAACATGTTGTGATGATGGCATGTAATTATAAACAGTGATTCCAAATCGAATCAAACCACGTCAAACTAGTTCAATCTGATTTGATTCCGCAATATTTATTATTTGGTTTAGTTTCAAATTTTATAGAATAATAGGTAGCGATTTGGTCATTGGTTTCCTGCTAAACCCAGCCTATCCTTTGCCATATTTATCTTTGACAAAGAGTACAAAACAACCAAATTTGTTTGTTATCTTTCTTCTAAGGTTTGCCAACCTAAACCTTAGCAATTAGAACTAGGAAGTCAAGCCTGTTTTTGTGCTTAAGACATTGTTGTTGTTCGTTCGTTTCTTCTAATTGAACTAGTTTTGGCTTTCTTGCTAGCTATTTATAGAGACTCTCATCTTCACAAAGATAGCTCAATTCAAACATACCCTCAAGCTTTTTTAACTCTACAAACATGTCGAGAGAGCGATATATCCATTCCCTTCTAACACTTTCTCGTCTTCTCATTTGTATCTTCAACAGTCTTGTAGCTGTAAATGGTGACACACAAAAGGTTTCAGTAGTTAGAATCACTTACTGTTTGTTGTACTATCTGGTATATATATTGAAAATTTGATTTTGATCATAGGATTTACAGGAATTTTACATTGTGTTCTTGAGAGATCAAGCAGTTGATGATGTAGAATCTATACATCAGACACATATCAATGTCCTCTCAAATTTGAAGGGAAGGTTAGTTGAATCTCTATGCCTCTTTCTTTCCATCTGTAGTATCACTTCTATGTATGTGTTTATGTTTGCAAATATATGTATGAAAGCCACACTGCATTCATCCTGGTTGTGTGTCGATTTGGATGAATACAGTACTCCGATTCTGTGATCAGTTTCTGTGTTCCCAGAAGAACTGATTGTGTTTTGGAACAATTTCTGTGTTCCTATGCTTCTTGCTCTTTAGCATAAGTGGACTAAGGACAATGTTGTGCTTGTATCTTGAATTCAAACCAAATAATATTTATTACCAAATGGCAACTTTCACATCCCGATTAGTCACAAAGATAGCTCAATTCAAACATACCCTCAAGCTTTTTTAACTCTACAAACATGTCGAGAGAGCGATATATCCATTCCCTTCTAACACTTTCTCATCTTCTCATTTGTATCTTCAACAGTCTTGTAGCTGTAAATGGTGACAAACAAAAGGTTTCAGTAGTTAGAATCACTTACTGTTTGTTGTACTATCTGGAATATATATTGAAAATTTGATTTTGATCATAGGATTTACAGGAATTTTACATTGTGTTCTTGAGAGATCAAGCAGTTGATGATGTAGAATCTATACATCAGACACATATCAATGTCCTCTTAAATTTGAAGGGAAGGTTAGTTGAATCTCTATGCCTCTTTCTTTCCATCTGTAGTATCACTTCTATGTATGTGTTTATGTTTGCAAATATATGTATGAAAGCCACACTGCATTCATCCTGGTTGTGTGTCGATTTGGATGAATACAGTACTCCGATTCTGTGATCAGTTTCTGTGTTCCCAGAAGAACTGATTGTGTTTTGGAAAAATTTCTGTGTTCCTATGCTTCTTGCTCTTTAGCATAAGTGGACTAAGGACAATGTTGTGCTTGTATCTTGAATTCAACCCAAATAATATTTATTACCAAATGGCAACTTTCACATCCCGATTAGTGGGGTGGGGAAATGGCAAGGCAGTCCCAACCAGACATTTGTGTTTGAGTCTATGTTGATCTGATTTGATACTTTTCGAATCTTTATACTTAAAAGAGTTATTTCAGGATTTTAGTGTTTGTGATCTTAACAGCTTCTATGAGAGAGAGCCCACTTTTTATAATCTCTACATTCACAATAAAACGTAGACTTGTATGAATCTTTGTATTCTTTTATGTTTGTTCTATTTTATCTTTTCTCTATTACACTTTCCATAAACAGTAATGTTTTCATAATGGAACAGTGAGCTTGATGCTGAGGAATCCCTTGTACACAGCTACAGTAGAAACTTCAATGCATTTGCTGCAAAGTTACATGAACATGAAGCCAATAAATTATCCAGTATGTTTAATTAATGTTTGATTATACTATGAACTTTATGTCTGTTGAGAGATTGTACTTGAATTTAATGAGTTTATTATTATTTTTTTTTTGTGAATGCTTAGGTATGGAGGGGGTGCTTTCGGTTTTCCGAAACCGGTATCACAAGCTGCACACAACAAAGTCCTGGGATTTTATTGGGTTGCCTAACACAGCAAGAAGAAAATTAAAAATGGAGAGCAACATAATTGTGGGTCTATTAGATACAGGTAGGTTCAAGAATTTTATTGGATTTTGTACTTATGCTCTGTTCCTTTCTGCTTGAAACATTTTCTAGTAAATATTTTTCATAGTTTCTGACATTGGTGTGACAAAAAATGAAAGTAGACAAAAAAACATTTTCAATGATTAATAAAAAAAAATAAAATTATTTAAATAAAAAATATGTTTACTTTTGACAAGTGAAGAATATTTTGAATTAAATTCTTACTAATGCCACTACTACACTATCGCCCACCTCCCCCTACCACCACCACCATCGCCGTTGTGGCCTTCGTCACTACCACCAGCACCTCTACCACTACCACCACAACCACAATCTCTAACACATTAATTTCAAACTTGCAACCAAATATAAGAAGACATTTTTACAAGAAATTTTTTTTTAAAAAAAAATCATCAAAATAAACACAACCTTAAATTAAATCAACAAGTCTTAAGAGTTATGATGAAAAGTTTGGTATTTTTATTATCAATTATTATACGAATACAAAATCAATCACATTAATATAGATAGAATAACATGAGTGAAAACAATAACATTATTTTTTTGTAATTAATTATGAAATTCTGTGTCCGTAAAATTATTATTTTTGTTATTTTAAGTTAACAAGGTCTATTGGTGTGGTTATATAGGGATCACTCCAGAGTCGGAGAGCTTTGCAGACAATGGATTCGGACCTCCACCAGCCAAATGGAAAGGAAGCTGTGGCCACTTTGCCAATTTTTCAGGGTGCAACAAGTAAATATTAGTTCATGTCATTTTCATATTTATTAGTTGTCTTCATCATTTCAATAGGCACTAATTAACTCATTTCAAACCACTATGCTAATTTATTTTACTTTATTAAATTGTGTGGTAACACCTAACCAACAATTAATCACTTTGAGTGGTCAAGGTAAGATTATAATCAGGGATGAAATTAGAAGAAGATTATGGTAGCCATGATCTCCTTATTTCTGTAAATATATCATTTTATACATAAAATGAACCCCTAGTATAAATAATATATATATATATATATATCTTATTATTCTTCTATTTTGCTTTCTTTTTTTTGTTTTGCACCAAAAAACTTTTTCATCATATTAGAGATTACTTCTATGGTATTTAATTTTTTCCCTATATATATAAATATATATAATTTATATATTATATTGTACATACATGTGTATTGCATATGGTGATTTTTTTTCGACCTCTCTAGTAATGAAATCTTAATTTCATCCTTGATTATAGTTCAATTATAATTTTTTTATTATTGAATAAAAAGAATGGAAAGACTTGACCAATGTGGTGTTGCCAAAATCTCTCCGTTGTTTAAGTCAATAAAACAAGTGGAGTGTAATGGAGACCAAGAGATAATGCATGCATGTATGGATTGCATATCTTTTTAACTATTGTCTCCCATTAAATAAGTTTATTTATTTATTTGTTAAATAAGTTAAATGGAGGGGGTTTTTTTTTAAGAGAGGAAGTTAAATAGAAGTTGACGGTTCAAATCTTGGGATAGGCAAAGATTTTCTCCTCTCTTACATCACAATACAACCTTGATAAACTAGAAAAAGAAAATTAAATAATTTCAAGATAAGAGCCACACGAATAAGTCTAAAGACACATAAATCGATAACGGAATATGACATAAAATATATATGAATTGATAGAATTTTTCAATCTCACCAACAAATTTTATAAAATCTTGTTATGTATATTCTATAATTTAATTTCTATATTTGTAACAAAATTAGAACCACAAAATTGCATTTGATGCCAGGTATCTTACAATATATATACATAAAAAATTTGATAATTTTTTTTTTTTTGGAATTCCTAGCATTTTTGATATAGCTAATCTATGTTAGATCACAAAGTGGATATGCAGGTACTAGAGTTGCTCAGCTCAACAGATAGACTAAAAATAGTACACTGTGAAACAGAGGAAACTTTGGACCATAGTAGTTTAGCCTTTTTAAGGTCAGCCATTGTTGTTTGTTGTTAAAGGGTTTTCCTTGAAAAAGCAAACTGCTATTGACATCACAAGAATTTTTTATGTACCCGTCCCATAATTTGCAGTTCGATTCTGTTTTGTATTCAATAGATATTGTTATTATTTTTTTTCAAATTTATCTCTTATTTTATATATCTGTATATATGTTAGTAGGATTTGTTTATTAAAGTAAACATTCTTTTAGATAATGACCTTTTTGCTCTAAAATTTAAGATTAGATCATATATGGTTAACATATATCCCATATTAAGAGCTGAATTATGAACCATTGGTAAACATGGATGTCTTGGTTCAACTCTTAATTGTGTCTAACTTAACTGATATATATGATTTGCAAGTGATTGTAAAACTAAACACCAGAATGAGATAACTAATTTTATTTTGACAATTAGTTCACGTCACTATCACAATAGTCCATAACCAAGGACGGAATTAGGAAAACATTATGAGAGGCCATGGCCCTCCTTTTTTTTGTGAACATTATTGTTGTCATAAAACTTTAAAGATATATATATTTCATTTTATATATAAAATACTGTGTTTGGTTTGAATTTTCTGGATTAAGTTTTTTGAAAATTGATTTTTTTGGTTTTTGTGTTTTTTTGTTTTTAGTGAATATTTTTTAAATTTTAAATATTTTTTTTTATTTTTTAGATGCACCTTACTTAGATGTATTTAAAAAGTAAAAAATTTGTGAAAAAATATTTTAAAAAATTAATAAATACATAAAAATACAAAAAATGTACTGAATTCTTATATTTTTTTGTATTTTTGGTATTTAGTGAATTTTTAAAAGATTTTTTTTATAATTTTTTTTTTAGTTTTTAGGTGTATTTATGTTAGGTGTGTCTAAAAAGCAAAAAAAATTGCTTAAAATATTAAAAAAATTCAGTAAAAACAAAAAAACACAGAAAATAAGAAAATAGAATTTTCTGAAAAGTGTTTTGGAAAACTGGAAACCAAGCAAGGTGATTGTTATTCTTCTTCCATGTTAAATTCCCTTTCTATTTTACATCCAAAAAAAAAAAACTTATTCATCCTATTAGAAATTGCTTCTATGCTATTTAAATTTTTTTTATGTATATATAATTTATATATCATATATACATATATGTGTGTTTTGTATATATGGTGAAAAAAAATTATCTTTCTTTTGGCCCTCCGATAATGAAGTTCTGGTTCCGTCCCTATCCATAACCAAACATCATAATGATTCATAACCGATACTAATTTTGGATCATAACTTATAAATGATATATATATATATATATATGCACAATGTTTATTGTACATATTTCTATGCTTCTATCAATCGATGCATGGATTAACCTCTAATTATTTATTTATTTATTATTTTATTAAAGCAAGCTTATAGGAGCCAAATACTTCAAGCTAGATGGAAATGAAGACCCAAGTGACATACTCTCACCCATAGATGTGGATGGCCATGGAACACACACCTCCTCAACCCTAGCTGGAAACCTAGTCCCAGGTGCAAGCCTCTTTGGCCTTGCCAAAGGCATTGCTCGTGGGGCTGTGCCCTCTGCTAGGGTTGCTGCTTACAAGGTCTGTTGCCTTTCCTTTTGCTTGCCTTGTTCACTTCCTGTCAACATGTTATTTTATTTATTTTTAATCTAGGAGAGAGAGAGAGAAAAAAAAAAAAAAGGAGAAAAGATTTATTAAGTTAGGAGAGAAAAGATAATAAATTGTGTTTTATTTTCCTTTTGTTTGATTAAACTAAAGAGAAAAAAGGAAATATAGTAATTTTTCTCTAATCTTATTTGGTTAGACCACAAAAAAAACTTAAAAAGTTATATATTACTAAAATAATATTTTGTGTTTTTATTTCTTTAATACCTAGATGAATAATTTTGATATTATATAAAAATTAGTAATCATTCTATTTTCTCTTTTGTCCATTCAAAAAGTGGATTATAAGATCAATTAATTTCTTTCAATTTCTCCTCATTTCTTTCTTACGTAGCAATTTAAGTGGTGTTTTGAGAAGTTAGTAAAAAATTTATTTTTGACTCTTTTATCCAAAAAAATTAACTTTTTAAGTAGTAACTTGGATAAAAAAGTTAAAAGTTAGCCTTTTACTAGCTTGCCAAAACAAGCCTAAGCAAGGGATTAGATTAAAGTCAAATTCTTTTCATTTCGTTTCTTTTATTTTCCTTCAAATCATTCAATTCAAATTGAAATCATCATGTACTTGGGACAAATCAACATGTAAGGGGTTTTTGGGACAAAACTTTCTTGTCATGAAAAGTGAATATTAAGGGGTTGTTTGGAATGTTCTAAATAAATGTACTTTTTATCTTTTTAAACTAAAAAGTTGAAAAAAAAAGATAGATATTTGGATTAACTTTTTATCTTTTTACGAAAAAATATATAATAAAAAATTATATAAATAAAATGTATAGGAGAAAAAAAATTGAGTAGGTTGTACGGCTGCCCTGCTGGGTAGCGTGTCTTACACAGCAAATTATTGTCTCCTTCGGAGCAAAGTGTTTGGACAGTGATGATCGGTCCGTGGGGCCACCACGGGTTCCATTTTAATAATCTGAACCGTCTAATATGTACAACTCATCGAGTATTATATGCTTATAAACAATCACGTTGATCGGATATCGATAGCTATATGATCAAATTAATTTTTTTCAACAGTTAACTATCACACCATCCGTTTTGTTTATATAAAACTGATTTGATCATATAGTTAACGATATCCGATCAACATAATGTTTTACAAGCATATAGTACTCGATGAGTTTTACATATTAAACGGTTCGGATTATCAAAACGGAACCCTTAGTGGGCCTCTAAGGGCCCAACATTACCATCAAACTTCGTGGCTTTACCTATGTATTTTTTTTTTTTTTGCCCAAAAAGTGTATGTCGCCTTCCTGTTGGGGCAGTACAACTGACAGTATAATTTAAACTTTTGTATTACAAAAATGTATAAAATATTTTTTTAATATTTTCTATTTGTGAATAGTAATAAATTTTTTGCTTTTTGTATAACTTTTTGGCTTTTTAGATTTTTTGAGACTTGCCAAACCTGGCCTTAGTTATAAAAAAAAAGGGGGATAAATTACCAATACACCCTTTGAGATTTGCTTAAAATACGAATTGCTTCTTGTGGTTTGAAAAATTACAAATACCTCATTGTCAAAATTTTTTATTTAATAAAATTAATTGAAAAAGTAAAATTTCTAACTGTTCACTTATACAATAATAAAATTATCTGAATTATTAATTGAAATAAAATTTTAACATTATTAAAAACTGTTAATTAACTTGATGATTTATTAATAAAAGGACCTATTTGTTTTGAAATTAAAAATCTTAGGAGGCATAATGCAATTTCTAGAATTACAGAGAGTAATTTGTAATTTAAATAAATTTTAAGAGCCGTGTTTGTAATTTATCCTAAAAAAAATTAGGAGACCAATTTCAATCATTATGTGAATCGCATCAAAAAGTCAACAAAAGAAAAAAATTTAAAACAAAATTTTAAAATGTTACTGATAAGTGCATTTTTAGTGATCAAATAATTTGATGTCATTTAGAGACTAAAGTTTTCATCAAAAAATATAGTAATGTATTACTTAAATATTTAATTTCGTCGCTAAAATTTTAATTTATTCTTGTATGTACATAATAAAAAAAGGTTTGTTGGGCTAGCTCCGGTTGCTCCAACATGGACATCCTGGCGGGCTTTGATGCCGCCATTAATGACGGCGTCGATGTCATTTCCATCTCCATCGGAGGCCTCTCGGGGGATTACGTGACGGACTCAATAGCGGTTGGGGCATTTTATGCTATGAGAAAAGGGATCATAACCGTTGCTTCTGCCGGAAATGATGGGCCGAGGATGGCTACAGTGGCAAACAATGCTCCGTGGATCTTTACAGTGGCCGCTAGCGGCATCAATCGGCAGTTCAGGAGCAATGTTGTGTTGGGAAGTGGCAAAACCGTCTCAGTAAGTTTTTTTTTTATTTTTTATTTTTTTGTGACGACATTAAGATATGACAAAGAAAATAAAATAGCAAAATCCCAAAATAACCCATGTTTACACAAAGAAGATAAATAGATGGATACAATTTTTGAAAAGTGAACCCCACAAATAAATCTTATAAGGTCTTATTCATTTGTATGTTTTTTATCTAATTCTGTATTTGATTTATGTGTTTAATATTGTCTTCTGTTTTTTTTTAAAGATAGGGAAAGGCATAAGCCCAAGGACCAAACAAGAAAAAAAAGTGAAGAAAAGTCAAAATTTTGTAAAAGTTTACTTTAAAAAAAAAAAGTCACAAAATGTCTCTTTTTCTTCTTCTTCTTCTTTTTCTTCCACTATAACACATAAGAGTTTTAGAGACCGAATATTTTGATTTCTAAAAGTAAAAATTTTATTACAAAAAATATTTAAGGATCAATTTCCATTGTCATGAGGATAGTTGCTAAAAGATCATCTCAAAAAGTCAAAAATAAAGCATTTAATGACAAAATTTTGAAAATGTCACTAATAAATGTCAATCTAGTTGGGATTGTTGACGTTAGCTACCTGCTTTGTTGATGTAAATTTTGCATGTATTGTGTCTTTTTTCATCAATAAAGCTTTTGTTTTTATTGATAAAAAAAAAAAGACTTTTAGGGACAAAATAATTTAGTCTCAAAATGGTTTATTTTTTGCGACAAAAAATTTGGTCCCAAAAGGATAATAATTCATCACTAATGTCTAATTTTTATTATTAAAAATATAATGACGACACTTTTCGTAACAAAATTATTTGGTCCCTAAAAAATAATTTTAACTCTAAATTTTGGTTTCTAAAATTTTAATATTTTGTAATGTACTTTTTTTTTTTTTTTTACATGGTGAAAATATGCACGTGTTTTATATGCAGGGCGTTGGGGTGAACATATTTGACCCAAAGCAAAAATTGTACCCTCTCGTTAGAGGTGATGCTGTTGCCAAAAACTCTGAAAGCGCAGACAATGCAAGGTACTAAATTAATTTACTAATCATGCATTTGAGAAATGACAAAACTATTGAAGGGAAAGTATTAATTCAGAACTTCAAATTTTTAATTTATGGTGTAAATGTAAAATTAGTGTGGTGGATTCATATTCAAAATAAATTTGATCCACATTTTAAACTTGTATCACTTTTTTTGGAATATTTACTGAGTACATAACATTGTTGATAATAAGCACAGATAATATCGTACAAACAAATATAATAGTATTGAAAATCAATACAAAATGACATGACACTGATTTTTATCATTTCAATTTTCAAAGCAAACGACATGTGTTAAATTTTTAAAGAGTAATACTAGAGATACTAAAATATTTACTAAAATTTCTACCAAAAATTTTGATAAATCTTTTAGGGTCTAACGTTTTCTATTTTTAAAAATAATATTATCACGTCATTCTTATAATTTCTTATTAACAATATTTAAGAATAGATTTTTCTCATTAAATATATTTTACCATGTTGCAAAGGTACTGTTTTCAAGAGTCAATGGATCCTCACAAGGTGAAGGGAAAACTAGTCCTATGCAAACTAGGAATGTGGGGGCTGGAGTCAGTAGTAAAAGGATTTGGAGGGATTGGAGCCATCATTGCAAGTGAAGAATATCTAGACACTGCCCAAATTTTCATGGCACCTGCAACTGCGGTCAATACCACCATAAGTGACACTATTGGTGAATATATTAACACCACAAGGTAATAATAATACTGTTGGCCAAATTAATGTTTATTTTTTTTGGGGGGGCGGGTTGGGAGCTTCTCTCAAGTGGAATGAATTCGTTCAGGCATTTGGGCACACCACAGGCTCCATTATGATATTCAATCTATTTATTTTGTAAATACTTATGAGTAAATCATAAAAAATATATTATCCAATAATCGTACCGATAATATCATATTTGATTTTAAAAATGGACAAGTATGATTTTGGAAGCAGACTACTCATATTTTTAAGACAAATATAATTAAATTATGTGATTATAATTATTAGATCAATTTGAATTTTTTTCATAAATAATCTATACATAGGCTTATGAAATGAACAAATTGAATCATCAGAGTAGGGTTTGTGGGCGCAGACTATATTTTCCAATCCAACGAAGAGAATTTTTTTTTCTATGAATGAAATATTATTATGAGATGGATAATGCATTGATAAAACTTAATTTTTAGACATGCTCAATTAAAAAACGTCTTATTCAAACGGTCTAATTTTAAGATTTTAAATTTTTCTAGTACCTTGTAAGAAAATAATTCAATTTTTTCTGTCCAATTCAGATCACCATCAGCAGTGATATACAAGTCCCAAGAAGTTAAAATCCCAGCTCCATTCATTGCTTCCTTTTCATCTAGGGGTCCAAATCCAGGATCAAACCACCTCCTCAAGGTATATTCATAGGTTTAGCTTATCCTTAACCATGCCTCCTATTTAGTACTTTACTGAACCTCGTTTTTTATTTTTTTTATTTATTTTTTTAAATTTTGTGATGGAACAGCCTGATATTGCAGCACCTGGCATAGACATTTTAGCATCATATACCCCTATGAAGTCACTTACGGGGTTAAAAGGTGACACAATTCATTCAAAATTTACACTAATGTCTGGGACTTCCATGTCATGTCCACACGTTGCTGGAGTAGCTGCCTACGTGAAGTCATTCCGCCCCAATTGGTCTCCTACAGCGATCAAATCCGCTATCATGACCACAGGTAACAAAACAAGCAACATTTTCTTGTCCTCTTAGTTTTGAGTAACTTGGAATGTGGTCTTGATTTGCTTTGAAAAATTATATTCCGTTTGTTTGGTTTGAACGTTTTGGATTAAATTTTATAAAAGTTGAGTTTTTTAGTTTTTGTGTTTTTTTATTTTTAGTGAATATTTTTTAAATTTTAAACATTTTTTTTTTACTTTTTTAGATGCACCTCACTTAGATGTATTTAAAAAGTAAAAAATTTGTGAAAAAATATTTTAAAACATTAAAAAATACATAAAAATATTAAAAAATGTGCTGAATTCTCATTTTTTTTTTATATGTTTTTGGTATTTAGTGAATTTTTAAAAGATTTTTTTCACAAATTTTTTACTTTTTAAGTATATTTATGTTAGCTATGTCTAAAAAGTAAAAAAAAAAAAATTACTTAAAATATTAAAAAAATTCAGTAAAACCAAAAAAATAAGGAAAACAAGAAAGTAAAATTTTTTAAAAAGTGTTTTTTGAAAAACCTAACTAAGCAAGCTGATTCAATCACATTATATTTGGTTTGGCAGAAAATATTTTCTACATTTTTAAAAAAAATATTTTGTGAAAAATGTTTCTTGTATTTGATTGTAACTTGAAAACTAATGTACTAATAGTGTTATTGGTAGTGGTAATAATAGGGTATTAGTGGTGGTGGTGGTAAGCTAGCAGCGTTGGTAAGACTTAAAAAAAAAAAAAAAAAAAAACTTTTTCCGTCATTTTGTCCCATTTTTGTGATCGTTTGTTAAATTTTTTTTTTGTGCTCTTAAAACTTTATGTTTTGTGCCTTAGCATTTTCAACACTTTTGACACGAAATAAACAGTAAAACCAACTACAGACACTCACATGCTCCCTCTAATTGTGAACCTATCTTTTTTGTTTCATTATGGCTTTCCCTTGAAATTTTTTCCAAAGCAACACCAATGAGCTCAAGGGTGAACAATGAGGGTGAATTTGCTTATGGTGCTGGTCAAGTGAACCCAACTAAAGCAGTGAGCCCCGGACTAATCTATGACATGGACGAGATGTCCTACATTCAGTTCCTCTGCCATGAGGGCTACCCTGGATCATCTATTGCAACTTTAGCAGGTTCCAAATCAATCAATTGCTCATCTTTGCTTCCCGGGGTTGGAAGTGATGCTCTCAACTATCCAGCCATGCAACTAAGTTTACAAGATCAGGAGACGACCACAGGCGTGTTTAGCAGGATAGTTACTAATGTTGGCCCTTCTCAATCTGTCTACAATGCCACCATTAGGGCTCCCAAAGGGGTGGAGATTATAGTTAAACCGATGAGTCTCCACTTCTCTCGCACTTCGCAAAAGAGGAGCTTTAAGGTGGTAGTGAAGGCAAAGGCCACAACGAGCATGCAAATAATGTCAGGTTCACTCATATGGAGAAGCTCGCGGCATATTGTGAGGAGTCCTATTGTTGTTTATAGCCCATAAAGGTGATGTATGTGCAAGTGAAGGAACAATGAACCAAATAAAAGGTGGTTTGGCTTGATGTGCTATGTATATGGCACATGAATAGATATGTACACAGTTATGTAACAATTTAGAGACAACTTAGTGAGAATAGTGTGAACAATATGATAAGAAGATAGTGAAGGCATGTCTAGAATTACTATCTGTAGAAAGTTGTATTTAATAATGTGCCTATGCCCCAACTAGACATGGGTAGGTTGTCTACTTCTACTTGAGTTGTAAAACTTTATGCAGTAATGAGTCAACGGGCCTCTTGGCTATAAATTATAATTTGGGATTGTGGAGCATGCAATGTTGCTACAAGAAGATTGTGGTTGTATTTAAATTTTGAATTTGTGGCGGAAAAATAAAATGGAATAAAAAAATGATTACATTGTAATAGGAGGTTTTCTAAAATTACAATACTTGGGATATTAAAAATAATTTTAAAGACATGAAATTGTGATTTTGGAAGAGAAAATTATCCCTTGCACTTTCTCTATTTTTCCTTCTTCTGCATCCACTCAACGGTCATTTTTGCTGGCAACCACCACCCCACCCCCGCTCCCCTCTTCTACCACTAGAATCTATCTCACTACAATTACTACAATTTCCTCCACACCATCTCTAGCCCTCCATTGTTGCCATCTCTCCCTTTAGCCATCTATTACAACCCCCTCCCTTGCCTCTCTATCCCCATATTATTACCTCTCCAATCCCACTTCCCGCCACCCTTATTGCCTTTAAATCCCTTTTAACCTAAATCTAAATACCCTTGAACCTATATTTGAATACCTTTGAAATCTAGATCACTCTTTCTCCCTTTTGCTCACAATTTGTATACTCTTTCTCCCTTTTGCTCACAATTTGTATATTCATGGCAACGGTGTGGAAAGGAGGCTAGGGGTGTCACTATGGTAGTAAGAATGGTTTGGGAGTGTCACAATTGTAGAGAAGGGGGGGTAATGATAGTGGTGACAATGGTAAAGAGAATGGGGGTAAGACATCAAGGAATGGTTGGTAGTGTAAGAGAAGGGTTGCAGGAAAAGGCATAAAGAGAACGTGAAACGGGCAATTTAATCCTCAAAAATCAATAATTCAACATTTTTGTAATTATTTTTTTATGTTCACACTTCTATTGCAATTTTTAAAAACTTATCACTAAAATGTAATTATTTTTCCATTTTTTGATTTTCTGTCAAATTTCTCTTAACTAAAGTTCAATAAATAAATGTATAATTAATGTGATAATTTTTGTTCAACAATATATATATTATTGTATTAAGGCTTTCCAGCCTTCCCCTTTTGCCACGTATCTTCTTCTTTTTTTTTTAAATTAAAAAATATTTTATCATTACTTTTTTATTTGAAAAAAAAAGAAGAAGTGTTTTTCCCTTAAGTCAAGCGTCCTTATTTTTCAATTTAAAACAAAAAAGTGTCTTTCCCTCATGTCAAGTGTCTTTTCCATCTAAAACCAAAAAGTGTTTTATATTTATTTTTCTATTTAAAATAAGAATAAAATTATTCAACAATGTCAGGTGACCTGTAATTTTATGACTCAAATAATTCAAATGTCTCAAAATAACGTTATTTTTGGTGCAAAACGACGTCATTTTGGATGTAAAACGACGTCGTTTGTCGTTTTAACACATTCAAGCCATTCGGGTCATATAAATTCGGACCACCAAGCATTTTAAAAAATTATATGTATTTATTAGTATATCAATTAGTGTATCAACAGATAATGTATCATAATTTTAGAAGTTTTGAGTCTTATAATGGGGGTGTTTGGTTGGAATTATGGAAGCAACTTATACCTTATTTTCATATGAAAATTTGTATCAGACTATTTGGTGCAATTTCTAATTATAACTTGTTAGGCAAAAATAACTTAAGATAAACTTAAAAATGTTGATTTTTAGAAACTGGGTGAGGGGTGCTTTTAGTTTTTACTTTTTGATTATCAACTTTTAGCTTAAAATAATCTCCACCAAACACCCACAATTTATAGTGACATTTACACACAAGTACTAATTTATGAACTTACACTTCATTTAATCCTAACTAAAATTTTTTAGACTTTCAAGTCCTATTAAATTTTTAATAATCGGAATTACTTTTCAAATAATGATTTTTAATCAGTTATGATTATCTAAAAAGAAATATAGTGATTTGATATTTATTTTGATTTTCAAGATTTTAAGGTGCCGTTTGGTAACACTTACGTTTGTAATTTATATTTTTAAAATTTTTTAAACATTTTGTCAATTACCAAACGCGTTTGTAGTTTATGTTTTTCTAAAAATAAACAAAAACCAATTTATGAAAAAATTGATAATGTTCTCAATTTTACAACTGAAAAAAATTGATAATATTCTTGATTTTATTGGATAGTTGAAACAAACCAACAAATAGAAGGGCAAAAACGTTTGATCTGATACTCCGTTTTTTTTAATCAATTAGTGAAACAATTATCTTAAATATTATTATGCAAAATTGATAATATTCTTAGTTTTAAAAATTGAAAAAAACTGATAATATTTTCAATTTTACTAAATAAGACTTATTGGTTCAAAAAATCTTAAATAAGAATTGACCTACTATAACATTTGTAAATAAGATTTTTAGATAATTAACTCTAAGTTGTATAATAGGAAGGATTTATAATTTTAAAATGTTAATATCATACCACATATTAATACATTAATTATTTATTAAACTGTACACACAATTGCTAATAAAAAATTAAGAAAACAAATTAATGATAAAATTAATTTTGTGTGCGGTCCGGATACATCCCTATTTATTTTTGTTAAAAGTAATGCTATATGTATCAATTAGTGTACTAATTGATAATATGACATAATTTAAGATATTTTTAATATTTGTAATTTGTATAATAAATGAACTCAATAATAAAATCGTAACTAGTATTGATACACTAATTAATACATATATTGTTAAACCAAAAAATACCCACCCACCACGGTTAGCAGACGAAGCCAACCGCGCCGGAAGCCAAAAGGAGCATCACATGAATGATTATTAAAATTGCAAAAATCCCGTTACCACGGATTGAGCATTGATGCTTCATTGATATCTTGTACTAAAAGTTTTTATTAACTTCAATTTATTTATCACAAAATAAAGTTTATTTTAGTGTTTAAAATAATCAGTATAAATATATTTTATAAATGTATATATTCATTAAATATAATTATGCAAATATATATCTTAAAATATAAAATTCATATAAATGAAACTACTTTAATTCTTATATTTTCTATTTAAGTATAATTTTAAATATATTTATGAGATAATTATGACGTCACAATTTAATTTTGATTGACTTAACGATTGAACCAATAACTAGGGGTATGCGCGCTGCAGTTCAGACGGTTTAAGAGTAAAATTATAAATCGAATAACTAATTAGTAGATTGATGGATTAATAAATTGCGATTTGAGCGGTTTTGACATTACAGGAAAATCATGAATTAGCGGCGTTTTTAAAACGCCGCAAAAGGCCAGGAAAACGCCACAAAAAGATAAAGCGACGTTTAAAAAATTCGTCGCTGATACGGCCGCCGTCGTATCTTTATGGCGTTTTAAAAACGCCACTATATAGCTTATACGACGTTTTTTAAAACGTCACTAATTCTTAACTATTTCCGTCAGAGTAGTTAACTATGATGTAATCATGACAACATTTTGCGACGTTTTTTTTCCTTTTTTTAAAAAAAAAAATCAAAATTAATCATATTTATGATATTCTCTTTAGTATCTAACCACTGTGTGAGCTAGCAAGAAAAAAGATTAAAATTAAAATTAGATGCATATTTATGATATTCTCTCTAGTTGAGTTTTAAGTCATGGATCCATTACAATCAGAATTATGAGAGTAATTACTTACAGCCCTCATCCCAGCCCAATAATTTTGACGTCACAATCTCTGATCTATGTTGGAAAACAGATAGATTTCAGTTCTTGATGCTCATTGAGCAATGGGGTGGAAATGAACAGTAATACTGGCACATAGATTTTAAAAAAAAAAAAAAAAAGAAAACCCATATACATTAAACAAACATAAACAAGGGAAAACAACATGATGTACTCGTAAACAACACTTCAGCCGGAGCAGATCTTGAGAAGAAAAAGATTACCGTATTGGCAGAATCACGAAATACACATAACAAGATCCAAAGTTATCAATCCATTGAAGAACTAGCTTTTTTCCTACACTTCCTCGCTACGACTTTGATTGCCATTCTTCAGTATATTGAACTTGCAGAGAGGACATGTAGCATTGATATACAACCACTTGTCTGTGTAGGAGCAGTGAAAATGATGGCGTCAAGGGAATTCATGCAGTTCAGTTCCGTCTTCTATCTTCATAGGGACAAAGGCAAATGCAACATTCCTGTGATTCATGAGTCGTGTCAAAGGTTAACCGTTGACTTAGTTCATGGAAAGCTACGAGCTATAAAGAAATCTAGCATTAAGTAATTGAACACACCTATTAACGAGCTTTTTTTATGGGTTTTGTAAATATGTTGGGGCACTATTAAAAAGCTTAAAAAGATTGTATATTCTGCATAAAAGAGTGCGTCTAATAAAAAATGTACAATACTTTTAAGCCATCTTAACACGTGCCATAAAGACACATGTTAACAAACAACTTCTTTTTATACATAGCATGCAAATGAAATATTAATGACCCGACAATAAACAGGTCCCAAATTCAGAAATGTTTATTATTTATTTTCAGTGTGATTAAAGATACCAAGGAACAACACAATTTTACAATGATAATTTGAGCCTCTTTTTTTCTTTTTCTTTTTCAGAAGCAATAAAAGAGCCAACAAAAAAAACAAAAAAATTCCCATAATGATAAGGGCTATTAGTCATCACACTATATCTACACTATCAAATTAGTGCAGAATCAATCTTCATGTCTGAGGATTGAATGCAAGTCATAACCTTCATGAAAATGATGTAGTTGAAAAAGGGAATGTGGCAAGTTCTTAAGCATGTTTTTTTAGAACTTTCTTAATTTTCATTTCAGAGTTCATGAAAGAATGTCTTGATTGAATTAGGAAACTTACAGCATTTTCTGGGGAAAAAACATGTTCAATTGGTGAATCAGTATCACATTTTGTAATTATTCCTCCAAAAGATTCTTGAATCTCCCCATTTTGTTTCTCAAAGTCACCAATCCTCTGGAATTTGTATTTGGGCAGTCGTTCAATGTCTTCCTTTGTTGCTCCTTCATGTTTTCATACAGAAGTTAATGCCAAGTCAAAGAAGAATCATTCAACATTCAGAGTAAACGTGATGTCAAATAACCAAACAGACATTTGGTAAAGCAATTCTAAGTGCAGACTATTGGAGAAAAATGGTTGAATAAGAAATTGTCTCATAAATGTGTATATAACTCATACATTTAAGGCTCATCAGTTTTACAAAATTGATTGGGCAGTTTTGCTAGCACTAGTTGCCAGCCTTGATGGCTAGAGGTTCCTCCCCTCTTCCCCATAGTATATAAAAGGAGGCCCTATTCCTTGAAAAGAGATATAGAATTTTTCCTTGACATCCATACACTGTCAGTCTACTTCTCCTATAATTTTCTTCTAGAGAGAAAGTGCTGCCGTTGTCCGTTCGCTAAGATAATCAGAAGATGCTTCTGTCGTATTTGGTAAAAACTGTCGTATCCTGGGAAGTAGATGCCGGCGTACCTCCAGCACCCAACGGTGAGGCGGCAAATCTATTTTAAGGAGACTGTGGTATCACACAGGCTTCGGTTTGTTTCCTTTAACCATTTTATATTTTATCTGTATTTTATTCAGCATG